ATTCTATTCTATTCTATTCTATTCTATTCTATTCTATTCTATTCTATTCTATTCTATTCTGGATGTTAGGATTCTCTGGATTCACTGATTTTCCAGCTTTAGTTTGGGGAGGGTTGCCTTTCCCCAGATAGAACTGGTGGGTGGCAGCAATGGCTAGGAGGACCTTTGCAAGACCTAGTATCAAGTAAGCCCATTCCAGGATTTAGATACTCTTCTCTTATAGCTTACATCTTAATTACTTATTGTTTGCACTAGTGCAATGGGATCTACATGGGATTGCCCTTGAAGACCACTCAGAAGTTGCCACTGGTCCAAAACATGGCAGCAAGAGATGTAAGATCTCAGCATCATGAGCTGAACTGATTGCCAGTTGGTTTCTGAGTGCAAGTCAAGATACAAATAAAAATATATATAATGTAAACATTTATACGTTTATATATACATTAGATATATATAATATACATAAAGTCCTTCATGGTTTAGGGCCTAGATAGTTAACATTGTTTAAAATGTAAGAGTGATTTAATATTTAATATATCTCTAATTCTGCCCATCCTATAAGATCTAGCAGGGTTGATTGGCTCCAGGTTTCATCAATAAAAGAATGTCATCTTATGGGATCTTGGACACATGCCTCCTTAAGTCACTGATTCTGCCAGTAAAACAGCTGAAGCTGTCAAGGAGAATGAAGTTGACAATACCATCTTTACTGTCTTTCAGGAAAGTTTTCTAAACCTGGTACTTCAAGAAGGCCCTAGGCCAGAGCAATTTGTAAACATGCACTAGAAGCCAATATTTTACTAGAAGCCAATATTTTATCTTTTTCTCAGGGGTGGGATTCTACCAGTTCGCACCTATTCACTAGAACCAGTTGTTAACATTCTACGCAGTTTGGAGAACAGGTTGTTAGAAAAAATTACTGGCCTAATCCTGTAAGGAAAGCAGGAAAGAAACATTCTGGTGTTGCTTACAGAAACTGCCTCTCTGTTAACCCTTATTACATTCTTGGCAGGACTAGATTTCCTGTCTCAGGAACTTCTCTGGAGTTTTTTCCCCTTCCTTTGCTGGTACTTTGCTTGTGTGGAGTGACCATTCAAAGTTACAATGGCACTGAAAAAAGTGACTTATGACAATTTTTCATGCTTACAACTCTTGCAGCATCCCCACAGTCATGAGAGGCCAGGTGAGGAGATGCATGCCTAGGTGTGAGTGATATTGAGTTGGCCACGCCCAGGCAATAACATGACCACCAAGCCATGCCCACCAACTAAGCCATGCCCACAGAACCAGTTGTTTAAAAATTTGAATCCCACCCCTGCTTTTTCTGTATTTTCCTGATGTGGTGAGTTGTTCTTTTTTTTCAATCCCTGGTTTCTTTTCTGTACACTGTGCTTTAAATACTACTGTAAAAGCCACCCTGAGCTGAATCATGATCACATGGTTTACACATCAAATAAATTTTAAAAAATATCCAAAGAAATAATGATATGAATAGTAGCAAAATTTGATAATGTTAAAGTTTAGCCTTCAGAAAAACATGTGTTTTGCAGAACACTTCACTGTTTGAAAAATAACAATCCTCAAGAACCTGGCTTCTGAAAAAATGTCTCATAGTGGCTAAAAAATGGCATTGCTTTATTGCCTTCCCTTAAAAATTGGCCATGCTTTTGCATTGGGCCCAACTTGCTGGATTCTGCAGTCTTTGATATGCCAGAACTCTGCGGTAAATAATTTCAAAGAATTGACATGCAGATTTTATAGATCAGTCCCTGAAAGATCAAGAAATACTTTTTGCACTGCCTAAGGGACAAAAGGAGTGATTCATCAAAACCTATCTTCTTGTTGTTATCCCCACTGACACCTAGAAGTCATTTCTTTCACTGAATAACCTCGGCACAGTCAATCAATCCATGTCCTTGTTTACTCCATGATTGTTCCAGTGACTCCATCCAGAGAAGAATATGTTCCATACTTGAGGAAGCCAGACAATGCAAATAAATTCCTGCTACTCTGGAGGGCAAGAATGTGAGTTGTTGCTCTGGTCATTTTTTTTCTTCCCTGCAGAAGCCAACCATACTGCATGTGCTCATTAATGCCAGCAGAAATCAAGATTACACTGAATCATCCTGTAGGAACATTAATGTTTTCATGTCTCCATCTTGCACATTGAGTTCTGAAATGAATTCAGATTTTGACATGTAATTAGTAAACCTGTGGCAAAGGTCAAGTCTCAGTTGTAAGATTAAGCATTTTTTTATTTAGGTGAGAAGCTTTAAGTTCTGGATTTGAACAATTCTAGTTTTTGATTATTATTTTTTTAAAAAATCAGAAATCAATCCTACCAGAATTTCAGTTTTTATCCTATGCTTACATTCAGATGGCTTGTCATTTAAGATTTTATTGCCAATTGCTCTAAACCCACACACTATAAATGCATTCTGTTTCCATGACAATGGTTGAAAAATTATGGTGATTTTTTAATAATTGGAATGGGGGTGGGGTCAATAACTTCAAAATGCTGGTTATGATAGGTCTATCAAAGCCCCTCCCTTTCTCTCTCTCTCTCTCTCTCTCTCTCTTTTAACAAACTGCACATATCACATATCAGACCTTTGAGGTAAGCCAGGTCAAGAATCCGACACCAAAGAGGTTCCAAGAACTTTGTTGTTGTGGGATATCTTGAAAGCATCTCCAAAACCTTCACTTGTCCCTTTTTTAGGACAAAGAATTCAAGGTGCAGTTGTTTGGAGTCTGTTTCTGGTTTTTTTTGATGCACATTTTCTACTTTCCCTGAAATTGAGCAATTTGCACAGCCAAATGACAAAAATTGATGGCTTTTTTCGCCTTGCATATTTGTTTACCTTTAAACATAACAAATAGAGGAAAAGGCTTAAATTGGGAGGTGTCAAGAGTTCCCCAAAACCTAGGACTAATCTCTCCAAATTTTTTGCATGCAGTGGAATTGAAAGGACGCCTCTGACACATAAAGAAAGAGAAAGGACAAGTTAAGACCTTTAAACTTCTTTCCTATGGCTGTGCGAAGAATAGTTCCACAAAGATAAACAGTATATTGCCCCTGTTGAACCCTTACTGAATTCCTGGGAATATAAATAGCTTAAAGTCTGGAGCCAGAAGACTGAGAAATGAAGGCATACTCAGTTACAAGAGAAGGCCCCTTAGGAGTGATGAATCCTTTGGGACTGCAAAATGTTTAGCCCTTTATGAACAGCATTTAGAGGCACTGAAGGTAGAATTATATTCTTCAACCAGAGCGAGTCATCTCCTGAAATAGAATCTCTTGACAGTCTTGCTATCATGTGTTCCCTGTGCCTGATCTTTAAAATCTTTGTAGCTGATCTCTTATATTCTAAGTCAGGGGTGTCAAACTTACATCATCATGGCAGTGTCACACGACATATCGGGACTTTCCCCCCCACCCTTCGCTAAACCGGGCGTGGACGTGGCAATCAACCAATCAACCAATGGAACAGCTTGCCCTCGGAAGTTGTGGGAGCTCCATCACTTGAGACCTTCAAGAAGAAATTGGACTGCCATTTGTCAGAAATGGTGTAGGGTCTCCTGCTTGGGTGGGGGGGTTGGACTAGATGACCTATAAGGTCCCTTCCAACTCTGATTATCTGTTATCTGTCTGTGGCCAACATGTGACACATCCGGCCCACAGGCCAGAAGTTTGACAGCCCTGCTCTAAATCTACATTTTGCTGCCTGTGTTCAGGGATTGCTTGCCTGATTATGGGCTTCTTGGGTAAGTAACCTCTGGTCTATCTCATGTGACTGATATTTGTCTTTGTTTCTGATCAAGGCCTAGAACAGGAGAAGACTACAAACTGCAAAGTATACTCTCAAGCCCCTTTCAATAACTTGCAATCAAGAAAGAAAAAACTCTTGCAGTCTGGGTATACTACTCATTGCAATAAAAAGGCATTGGGTTACATAATCTTGAAACTGCGTACCTTGAGCCTCATTTATCAATGAATACAATAAAATAGAACCTTGCCTGTTACCTTTGATCATCTTTCAGAGTCTTGATTTAATTAAAATACTTATCACTTATTGGAGAGCACAGAAATGTCCATCTGTTCTTCTTCAGTAATATTTTGAAAACATCTGGGTTTTTTTGTTGTTGTTTTTTGCCAAGGCTCAGGGAATTAAATCCATTTAGGAAGAGGAATAGAAAAAAAAAATGCTCGTCCGAAAGTAGGATGGATCATCTGAAATATTTTTCATACGCTTAAAAGAAATAAGTATCTTGGAAAGTCCAACTTAATATTGCACCATATTTAAAAAGAGTAATGGGAATCATAGAAAACATTAAACAATAGCAAGCAAAATTACAATACAGTGAATTATTGATCTTAAGGCACACTGTAACTAGTTGGTTGACCAAGTAAAGAAATGGATCTTTGGTTGCCTAGATAAATATTAGTTAATTTTTGTAGATTCAAGACTAAGAGAATAACAGGCATGTCTTTATCATTTCTTAGAGAAGCTAGGCTCATCTCTTCAAATAGGATTAAGAATATTCTTGTAATTCTACTACTGTTGTGAACTTTGTATTACTCCAACATTGCAGGGTCATAATTGCATTGTTTACCATCAAGGTGTCAATTTGCTAAATTGCAGACTTGTGAGTTTACTGGCAAGGCCAAGGTTATTGAGTAGATAAGCCATATGAAATTTACACAGTATTTATGAAAGCTCCCCCAACCCAATTAGCTGAGCATGCAGGAGCCCTTCAGGTATTCAGGGAAGAAGCTTAACATATCAGAAAGCTTTGTTCCTGGTAGTCCTTTCAGCTTTTCCAGCAAAAGTCTTTTCCAGCAAAGGTGTTTTATTATGAGCATCTAGACAGGAATTCTGAAATCATCTTTCCAGGTAGTATCAAGCAAAACTAAGAGCCAATATAGTGGAGCACCTCTTTAATATGTACTGTGCAGTATCCATTGAAAATTGGCTTAAGAAATCAGTGCACTCCTGGTTCTTAATAAGAACAAACATCTGCTTCCCATGTATGCCGTGTGTTTCCAATATATTGTGGATTTGAATTGGGGCTTTACCAACCTTGTAATTTCCAATAAAGGTGTTCAAGTATAGGAATCAACTCCACGAAAATCAGTGAGAGACCCCCCACTAGCCCCTCCAGTTATCTCATTGGGTAGTTATTGCTTTTACAAAAGCAATTGACACTCATAATGAAGCAAAGGAGATCTGGTTTAAGCTGTGTGTTTGCTGTGTGCCTCTTTTCTAATCTCATTTCATTTGACCTCGAAATTCAGAGCACCTGCTATGCCTTGCAAAAAAACAGACCTTGGCACATGGGATAACTTGTGGACTCATTATTTCAGAAGCTGTTCAACCCAGTGGTACTTAAGAAAAGCAGTATTTGTCTTCTGAGTATTCAAACTATATGAAGGGCTGGATTTAAAGTCCCTGTAGACATGCAGCTCTTCTGCAAATGATTGCAGAATTTCAACTCCATCTGTGGAATAAAGATTTATATTGATAATAGTTACAGAATAATTATGCCTACATTTGCAAAGTAACTGTTACGGTGGAGTAAGGACATTGTCTTGTCTTCATTTCTGGATCTTTAAAAACTAGTCAAAATTACCTGAAAATCAGGGAGAACCATCCAGATTTAATGGCTATAATATGTTAGACATGATAATAGTTGGAACTCAAAAAATATGTGGAACATGGTGGTGCAGATAAGCACTATGTGGTAGAGATTTTGAGATCAAGAAGACACTAGCAGCTGTATTGAGTAGGCATGTATTGAGTAGATCCAAATACACCCAA